TTTCACCATGAACCACCTCTTTATGAATATGCTTCAGAATTAGATTAGAAATGTGAAGATCTTTGACCTTAAAATCTTATAAATAAGCATTTTTTTAAAAAGAAATGTGAAGATCTTTAGCGATTATGACAGGATGCTTGGAATCTTCTGACATGACAGCTCTACTCAGATGCCCGACAGCCCGCAGCACATCATCCTCCAGAACAGGATTCACCTTATGTATGTGGCTGCTTCGTTTCACAGCCTCTCCCCTTTGGAGGCGGGAATATCCTTTCGGGATATCTTTTCCTCTGACAGCATCTCAGCATCCTCAACGTCTCCCAATGAAAGAAAGCCGTGGCAGAACTCAACCCTATGATGAGCACCTTCAGACTGAGTTGTATCAGATGGAGACTGGAAGTGTGTCTTGTTCGGTGAGGTCTTGAACCTCAAAATCCAACCCATCACCCTGATGAGACAAGTCCAGAATGAGGCACAATGGATTAAAAGGGTCAGAGGATGATCCTCATCATGTGCTTGTGAGACATCCATGGCAGCAGACACCTTAACTTCAGGATCTTCATGTTAAAGTTATTGCAAGTTCTGGGTTCACAGGCCAATTGTTCTCTGGCTGTATAACAAAATGCAGGACCAGATATCCATTCAGTGTCACGTAGAAAGGTCTCTGCCTTCATGCCTCTGGAGGCAAAGTCTGCAGGGTTATGCGTTGTGTTTACATTCCTCCACTGGGAGGCACTAGAAGCCTTGAGGATCTCTGACACTTGGTTCACCACAAAAACACGGAACCTGGAAGTCTCATTATTGATATATTCCAACACTGCGGTGCTGTCTGTCCAAAATACTGAGTTTAGGAGAGGTAGTCTCAACTCCCTCCTCCACATTTTATCCTCGCGAACTGCTACCACTGCTGGCATCAATTCCATGCGTAGGATTGTGACTGGTTTTAAAGGTCTCACACTAGACTTTCCCATTATGAAGGAACTGTGTATCTGTGAGCGACTGGTGTGCAGCAGCAGGTAAGTAACAGTGCCACACCCCTTTCCACTCGCATCTGCAAAGTGATGCAACTGAGCAGTGGCCGTCTCTCCAAAATCAGGTTTTACATTTACAACATTTTCTGGTGCTGATGTTGTCCAAGAGGTGCAATTTTTCCACACAGCTTTCCCATTCTTCAGCAACCGCTGATGGCATAGCATCATCCCATCCTATCCCCCTCTGGCACAGATCTTGAAGGATCCTCTTGGCTGTGAAGCAGACAGGAGCAAGGAACCCCAGAGGGTCATAGAAACTGCTTACGGTGGATAGGATCCCTCTTTGGGTCAATGGCCTGTTTGGGATGGATATGCAGAACTTAAATGCATCTGACTGTAGGCACCACCACAGTCCCAATGCTCCCTCAGCAGGTCACATTCCAGGTCTATGACCTTAACTTTCTTTGCTCCTCAGGTATGACTGCCAGAATGCTGCAGCTATTACTCATCCACTTTGTTAAGTGGAAGCCACCCCTGGCACAGATGTCTCTGAGATCCGAGTAAAGATTGATGGCTTCGTCTTCAGAGCCTATTGAAGCAAGGCAGTCGTCCACATAAAAACTATACAGATTGGTGTCAATCACCTGCTGGCTGAAGTATGCTTTGTTGTCCTCTGCGCATTTCTGCAGGGCATAGTTGGCACAGCTTGGAGAGGATGTTGCCCCAAACAAATGAACACCCATCCTGTACTCTTGCATGCTCTAAAGTCATCACCAGGCCACCAGAGAAATATCAAAAGGTCAGAATCTTCCTCTGGCACATGCACCTGGTGAAACATAACCTGTATGTCAGACATCAAAACAATAGGCTCTTTTCTGAACCTCGTCAGTACTCCAACCAAAGCATTTGTTAAGTCAGGGCCAATCAGGAGCTGCGCATTAAGAGAGACACCCTGGAATGATGCTGCACAACCGAAGGTGACCCGCATCTTCTCCTTGGTAGGATGGTAAACCCCATGGTGAGGGATATACCAAAGCTTCCCATCACCAACTCCAGGAGTTTTGAGTCTTCCTTTGACAGCCCATCTGCTCATCATGGCTGCTCTCAGGGAAGTCCATCTTTAACTGCTGTTTCCATAGCTTATCCAGTGTGACAGCAGAAACTCTGTTGGCAGTAACTGTTGCCAAACATCCTGGCCTTCCACAGCATTCTCGATTAAGTGGCCCATTCACTGTCCAACCAAGCACAGTCTTAACGGTGAAAGGTCCATCACCGACACTCCGGATGACCTCCAAAGGTTCCAGAGCTCTGAGCATATTCATGCCAATCAAAAGCTCCACACTGGCCTTCATTTCTGGCAAATGAACATGCTTCAAATGTGCAAGTCATCCAGAACCTGTTGATGTGGGACATTACCAATATCTACAGGCATTTTGTGCTGAGTGAAGAGGTCAGGCCTATCACAGTATATGTCACTGTCCAACCCAGCAACTTCAAGTTCAGGTACAATAAAAGTGTCCACCACTTTCTCCTGTCCCATAGTGCGCAGGAGAATTGTTGTCTTCCTCCCAGCAATATTCAGCTTGTCCATAAGACCCACTGTACAAAAGGATGCTGAACTCCCTTGGTTCAGAAAGGCAGATGTTTCAACTATTCTTTGACCTCTCTTTGATTTTACTTTAACTGGCATGATGGCAAGCTTACAATCTCATTCACCGGCCCCAGTATGACCACTAATCTGGATTGTTATCTGCCTCATTATCAGGTTTGGCTTCATTCTTCTCCTTGTGGTGGATATGGAGTATACTGGCATGTCTGAAACCACAAATTTTACATAAAAGATGTTTTCTGCATTCTTTGCTGATGTGCCCAGTATACAAACAGCCAAAACAGATGCCATTCCTTTTAAGAAACGAAATCTTCTCATTATGAGGTATCTTATCAAGCAGAGCACATGACTCCAGTGTGTGTCCATCTTTGCAGAACAAACAAGCCTTCACAGTACTGTGGCGATCTTGCGCTCCTGTTTGATTCTGTCTCTTAGCATCAGAGTTGTACCAAAGCTACTCCTTTTAGCTCTTGGATGTGGAGAACGTTTCCCTCCATTGCTGCCCTTGGCTGTTAGATGTGTTGCTGGAACATCACATAGATTTCCAAAGACGGGATCTGTAGCAATTTTAACTTGACACCCAAGAAAGGAAACAATGTCAACGAATCCAGCTCTGCGATGTTGCCTCTCCTGGATGTCACATGCTACTTGGTCTAAAAGTGTCAGAAGGCCCCATAACTGGGGGTGCAGACCTGTCCCTTTTCATATTCTGTTGCACTGTTTTTACTTGAAGCTCTGCATTCCCAGTGATTGCATTACCTTTTGTAAGCGTCTGTGGAACAAAAGTCTCTGCATCCACAATAAGGATTTCAAGCCTGTTTCCTTTCGTTTTAAAATATGATTCTATTCCATTAGATTTCCACAAAGCAACGACCCGCATTGTGGAACCAGTTCTCAGCACATTCACATTTGCAACAGTTGCAGCTATATCTGCTTCAAGCTGAAGTTGTTCTTTCTTTCTCCACAACTGCTCCTCCGGTTCTTCAAGAGAGTGTTTTTCTTTAAGTATATGTTGATGTGCGAGCAAAGCAGCCATTTCAGCTTCTGCCCTGAGATGTGCAGATGAAGTAGATGATACTCTTGAGCTCGACCTACTGCCTTGATTTGACAGAACACGTCATCCTGAACATCATTCTGGGGATTAAGACATAATTGAGATTCTTTTCCCAATGTGCTCTTGCACCTCCACTTCTCCTCCCAGGGAAGTTTCCAGGCCATCATATGACTGTGCTTTGTCAGATGATGGCCTGCCTGAATGTTTTTCAGTTTCAGCAAGCCATATCTTGACATCCTCCATAAACTCTTTATTGTATTTAGCCATGCTTGAGAACCATATATTTTGTTTATCTTTCTCGTTAAATGAGATTAAAGTAAACAGAGACTCATGCAATGCACTGGCATCCTTAAACAAGTGTGTTAACTCATCAAACTGTGATTTAACTTGTGAATAACTTTTATCATCTTTCATTAGCTCTTTAAGAGACATAATCACACGTTTCATTTTGTTTACATGCCTTTTCCGATCTGCTTGGATGGTTTCAATTTTATTTGCAAAAGCTTTATCAGTGAGAACAATTAATCTTTTATCCTTTTCAGGTTTTCCAACAACAGATGCAGCTTGCGTATCACTCATTTTAAGCATTCAACATAAGCAGCATGCCAAAATCCAAAAT